GTGGAGCTGGGAGGGAGGTGGGGGAGGAGACTGAGGGGGACCGGAGGAGGATGAGAGAGGTGTAGGGGAAGGATAAAATCGGAATTTTGGAGGATATTGCTTTGGAACTTGGGGAGAGGGGTCTGGACACAATTTTTCAAATTATAGGAACTGCAGTACATTGGAGGAAGTTGGGGGAGCTGTGGCACATTGAAACTTGAATTTTGGGGCCTTGAAGCAATTTTTCCTTGTTTGTTTGCCTTTGCTTTTTTTTTTTGTGTGTGTGAGGGTTTCAGTCTACTAGACCTCTAAACTATCTAAATTATTTCATAATAATTCCCGAACTATTTTTTGTCTCATTTGCTCCATAAACTATTAAAATAGGTTCATGCTTACCCGTTGAAGTATTTATCAGCCATACTTTACTCCTTGAAGTGGTAAAATTGTCCACGATTATCTCCTAAGCTATCAAATACAATAACTAGTTACCACTTTGATTTATTACTTTGTGAGTATTTTCAATAAAATTGTGAGAAGAAAGTGATAATACAGAATGCAATGTGGGATCAAAGCAGTTCGAGGGATAAGTAGGTGATTAATTCAATAGCTTAGGGAGCATATATACACTAAAAATAGTTTAGGGGGATCGTTCAGGGGTTACGAATGGACAAATGTGATAGTTTAGGGAGCAAGGATTAGGGCCTTTTATTAAATTTTGTAAAAGACAACAATTTAGAGTCTATATATATTTGTGAAACAAATGCAGTTATAGTACTTTCTATGACAACATCTGTATTTTATAAGCTACAAATTATAATTACAAATATCTAGACAGTAATCTCTCTTAAAAGAAGGTGGGGACGGCCCAATAGGTCACATAACAAATCTGTATCGCTCCGTTGTTGGAGACTTGAATTCGATTCCCGTGTACTCCAAAGGCTCAATAAACAATATCTCCCTTAAAAGAAGGTGGGCCTACATGATAATTAATGAATACTTAAAGCCCAATTCATCACATTTTTAGGGTGCTAATTCATGGCAATCTGGCTCTAGAAGATCACATAGTTCAGAACAAAGAGGATTGAATTCAAGGTAAACAAAAATCATGTGCCATTTTGAATTCTCATATTTATAGGTTGCGGTGGGGATTTTTGTTTGATTGTTAACTCATAGATATTTCATATTTGCACTATAGGTGTTCTTTTATTTTTTTTGGTTAACTCAGAGATATTTCATCCATCCTTAAGGAGGTTTATTTCAAGAAATTAGCTTCTCCGCTCGCTTCCTTGTGGTGCCCGTAGTTGCAAAGGCCTGAGAAACCGACTTCTCGCATGAAGAACCACGGCTGGTAGAGAGTATAGCAGGTTCGGTTTGGTCATCCCAAACGAACCGAACCGGAACACGCCACATCCAAATGAACCCAAGAATAGCGCAAAAGATTTGCCTGCCACTCAGTGTGCCTGACTTCTACGGGCTCCTTTCGCTGCAGGCTCACCCTAAGCCATTCATGAAATGGCATGGTATAAAAACACAGTTTCGTCAAAGTAATCCTCAAATTTATGCCAAATGCCTCTGGCACAGCCACAGGCCCTGAAAATGTGCTCATTGTCCTCTTAAGACAGCATCACAAAAGGAACACGAAGCACCAGAAGTCGTGAATTACACGCCAATTTCTAACCTGTTTACTCAGTAGGCTTTTCCTCAAAAGTTTATACACTGCAATTTCATTTTCGCAAGAACGTATAGTAGATAACAGGTGAAATAGCAGGAGGAGGATGAGGAATCCCACACAAAGCGCCCAACACACAACCATATTAAACACCATGCAAAAAGTTATATTCGAATGGAACAACTAGAACTAACATTCACACACCCAACATTAGCAAATCATCAAAATACATAAACACTACTCAAGTTCATCTTAAAAACACGGAAAAGGATAAACATTACCTCTCATGTACCTCTTCAATATGCTTATCGATATCACAGCAATCACTTTGATCTCTGTTGTCCATCAGACTTTGGTGACGGATTATACACATTCTTTATCAAATCCTGAATCTTACACATAAGCATCTGTGACGAATCACCACCACCAACTCCTCCGCTACTACTCCCAACCTGAGGAGGTCTCTGGCTCTCCTGAAGCTTAATCTTCTCGAATAAATACTGCTTCTCAGCCTCAGCCTCATCTAACCTACGCTTAAGATACAAACTAGCGTAATCCTGCTCAGCTGCAGCTTTCTCAGACTTAGCAAGTACTATAGTCTGAAGCCTCTCAGCCTCTTGCCTAGCCTCAGTGGCTTTCAACTGGAACATTTCAGCCTCGGCCTGTTTTAATCTCACGATGCTTTCGAGTTCTTCTACTTGTTGTTTTTTCCTCTGTCTTTCTATTTTGAGTTCTGCTACCTCTCGGGCTTTATCCTCGAGCTCACGGTCACAAGCTTCTAGAGATAGGCGAGCCCTCTTGAACATTCGGAGTTTTTCCTCTGCCACTATCTCCATTTTTCTCACGGCTTCTTGAACGACCTCTGCGATCTTGTTGCAGGCTTCTTGTGGGGCGATTAGGTGACTGGGGTCCTCGGTTTCAGTGAGGTTCTTTGTAGAGTCTATTTCGAGTTCTAAAGAGATTGCATATCAAATCAGTTAGTGGTCGCTCGTCACAGGTCAATGAATGTATACTATAAACTTGGGCAATTGAAATATAGATACTGTAAGGTTGTCCATGTTAATTTTCATTTCATACACTGATTGGAAAAATAAAATTCCAGCAATATGTCTGCCTGCCCAGCAGAAAAGGCTTAAGGTTTTTGCAGGATCTGAAAGATAACGGCTAAAAGGACATCTTACGTAAGTTTATCCACTCAATATGTTCAAAACTATCTATATATGCAAACATTCCTCAGAACTGATATTTGAATGAAATATTCAGTTATCATTTTCACAAAGAGGATGTAAAGATGACGTCCACTGTAACTATTTTCAAAACAGTGGTCTAGATAGAATATAGTACACATGATGTGAGGCTGAGGAGAAGGCACCGACAGCCTTTAGATCAAACAGAAAAAATATTTAGACAAATGGAGAATAATATATTTCAAGAATAATATATTTCAAGTGATGGAAAGCAAAAGGCAGGTGTCTTCCATGACAAACTTCATAGCAGTTCCCTAGCATTCTCACAAGAAGATGTTTCACAAAAAAAAAAGAACATAAGTAAATGCAGCTATCTCCTAACTGAAAATGACTACACCCTGGAACAATCAAGCCTATCGTCGAGATGCCTCATGAATGGTGTGCCAAAATCAAAGCAAACTTGAAAAATGGCAGAACAGGAAATGAAACTAATGACCCCCAAAGGCGATATGCTTCCAAAGTAGGACATATTTGACTATGAGAACCTGATACGAATCCTAGGGTCAAAAGTTGGAATATTATGATGGAAAATTATAGTAAACATGTAAGGCATCGTGGCACAGGCAACAGCATAGTAAAACCGGTGAATAGATACCTCAAGAACAGAAGGTACACTGGATTTAGATAACTGAAATGAAGAAAATGCTTACAAAGTAGATATAGGAATGGCTCAACTCGTTGCCCAAAGAACAATTACAATTTACAAGTATGATTAGAGGGTTACACTGTTAGGCCTATACAAGACCAACCTTAACTTTCAGATGGCATAGCACTGTCAGATGCATGTTAATATGAGAGGTAAACACTTAAGGGTTATATCATATGAAGTAGGTCACACCTCAACCAAGTGATTAAATTTATATTGTGCAAAGTAGATACTGGTGTAACGAAGAAATAAGAATGATAAAATATGTAGCAGACAAATACATTACAGACCTTCACTAAGAGTCAAAACATGTAGATGGTGAATAATTTACAGACCTTTACTTAAAAGAGTCAAGATAACTGCTGTTTTTCTAAATCTTGCAATCTATGAATATGCCATAGTGAAAATAACCTATGGAAGTTGAAATGCAAATGTCTGATGAAATGAGTACGTTTAATTTTCAATAACTAACGATAACCCATGGAAATCACAAATTAATGCACTCCCATCTTTGCAATATTTTGTTGTCTGAGACACTCCGGCATGCACGACATCTAGACCCCCTCTTATGAATTGCACACTTTTCACTAAAAAAGAGAGAACAAAATACTGTATCATTGTAATAAAGCAATGGAAAGGCTTACAAGGATGACTAGAATAGACTTACGAGGGAAAAAATAAAAGTTTGAAAAGTAGAAAGATCATATTACTCTAACAATCATTGAAACCTTTACTATACTTTTTTTTAACCACGTCATTGTCAAATAGGAAATGAGTGCTGATAGATAAAACCTACGCTTCTCAAAGTATGTGGTCTATAATTTACATGGGTGTGTATCAAGAAGCACTACACTGCAAATCATGAGATACGTAAACAAGTAATGATAACTGGAGCCTAAACTCTTATAGGTACAAAATAAATAATTTATATATGTAATAGAATATACTACACTGTATTACTACCATGGACTGCCCAAACGCCTATCATACTTTTTGACATTTTCATAGCAAGTCATGAGATAGGTAAACAAGAAACGATAAACGGGCCTATAACTCCTGTAAGTATGAATTCAATAATTTATATATGCAACACAATAAAATACATAAGGGTCTGTCCATGTCCAGGTCCAGTGTAGTAACACTGGAGCAAGTTCTGACCTTAGGAGTAACTAAAATGTTTTTTCCCATAACCACAGTCCTGTATTAGATAATTAATGCAATAAATATGTAACTTATTCCTCTTTTTGTTAGTGTCAAAGTCCTGTATTAGATAATTAATGCAATAAATATGTAACTTATTCCTCTTTTTGTTAGTGTCAACTTGAGTTTCGTATGTGCATGAAGTTTGTACCAGTAACTTATTCCTCTTTTTGTTAGTGTCAACTTGAGTTTCGTATGTGCATGAAGTTTGTACCAGGAATTGTCGTCGCCTAATAGCTTTCAGTGCAAAAGAAAGAAAAAACAAATTTTAAGAATCAAGCACATATCTTATAGTCCTTTTAAAAAAAGAGGCAGACTAAGGGGTATATTCATCAGAAGAATAAACATTTATAGAAAATGTTTAAATTGACAGCATATCAGGTTGCAGGAGACAGTTTGGCACCAGAATTTAGCTTCTTCTAGAGCAAAAGTTAAATTGCTAATGACTCAGAATCTAAATTGAATACCTGTTGTAACTTGACAAACAGTGGATAGGAGCAGGAAAAATTCTGATTTATTGCTAATTTAAAATTTAAAACAATAGAAAGCAGCAAGGAGAAAAAAGGAAAATAGTAAAAAAGTGCGAATAATAGAAGCATAATAGAAGAGACCTCGTATGAGAAAGAAACGAAGATACCTCAAGTTCTATAGAAGCATAATAGAAGGCAGCATACAGTAATCAGAGCATCTCGTATGAGAAAGGAGAATAAAGAAAAATGGAAATAAAATTTGACATGCAATTTGAACACATGCATATAAACAGAACATGGGTGCTAGCACAAGATTGAAAAACAATCATCTGCAAATAACTATGATAATAATATTAATAAGGAGATGTTAAGGAACACAGCACCTGAAATTCTACCATGTCAAGTATTAATTTTGGGTCGAAGAAACATCTGATACTCGAACAAAATGAATTACCTTGGAATAGCAGCATCAGCATCCTGCAAACCGTAGAAGTTGTGGCACCACTCTTCATCTTTTCAATGAGATCCCCACACTTCCAATACAATTTCCTACCTTTTGGGTCCTCACTTAGACGAAAGATTTTAGTGACAAGTTCAAGTTCTCTAATCAAGGATTCCCTGTCCCATCCATGAGCGCAATGTTGAAACACATCTTTAACCCAACCCAGTAACTCAGAGGTCCTGTTACAAGCTTGACACCTGAAGAGCATCTCAGCATGGCCAGCCACACCTTTAGCAGTCTGACCCATCCCAATCCGACCCACATGCATTGCACAATCTGTGTGAGTCCAGTGAGCACACACGTCACAACCAATCCAACGGCAAGTATTGACCTCAAAATCAAACTTATTACAGATTCCACACATGCACTGATTGCAGAAACCATTTCTATTAGTACAAATCTCGCAGCTACACTCGTCGGCAGGGAGAGGACTCTGACACGCAATGTTCCTACACCTCTTATACAGGAAAATCTCAATAAGGCGACTCTGAGGAAGGCTAATGTTTGGATGAAGGAAAGCTTGAATTCCTGTATTGATCGCAACTAATATTTCAAGTTGTGCTCTATGAGCTTTGACAAGACTTTTCTCCGTCAAGTCAGTTCTACCATGGACCAGGTGCTGGAGATTTAAAAACTCCTCCCTATTCTGAGATCCTCCAGAACCTTCAAGAATCACCCGGAGCTCGCTCTTAAGCTCATCCAAGATCTCAATGGGCATAACCATCATTCTATCAGAAATCACCTCAATTCTTTCACGAGCTACTTCGCGAAGGGATAACTTATTTACAGAAGAGACCCTGCGAATAACTTGATGTTCAGGGAATTCGTTTTCCCCTTCCTTTTCTTTGTCCAATTTCTTCACAATAATGGAATTGGAGTGGTTGTTCTCAATGGGCCAGGTTTCCCGTGAGCTAGTGCTATCAGTAGGTGAGTCGTGACCTTGGGATAAGGGTTCGGCAGCATCAGAAGAAGCTAGGGACAGAGAAGTCTGCAGACCAGAAGGTCTTGGGTGCTGCCGTGGAGGTAGCATTTTAGGTGGTGGCTGATGGTTGAAGTTTGCACCTGAGGAGGCTCCCATTCAACTGGACTGTTACAGAGGAAGGATTTTCGAATTGATCACTCAGGAAAGCTAAATCCTATTCTCTAGTAAAAATAAGAAGGCTAATTCAGAACCACCATCCAAAACTCTAATAAATCCCAAAAATATTACCCATAACCGCTATATTACAGTAGAAGTTATCCTCCCACTTTGATACAACTAACAGAAGGTTGCCAACTGATTTTACTCCTCACAGTTAATACTTCACCACTAGACTATGTATATAATGAACAAAGTGCTCTACCAACATCACTTTCATCAAAACTATAAAATCTATCCGTTAAATTCAACCCCATATTTTAATTATTCACAAATTGAATCCATTGACATCATCTTGAACCAAAAATAGGGTGCTTTACCCAAAAAAAAGTTAATGAAAGAAGTTTAAATCAAACTTTTATAGCAGAAATTAACAAAACTGGAAAACTGATACAAATTCAACAATGAAACCTACGAAAGTCCCAAAATTTTCAACTACATAGCTCCTAAAAATTCATCCTTGCATAAAGCTAATAAAACTGAGCTAAAATCCACTAAATTTCAAAATTCCAAGTGAACCACAGCACAAAAAGATCAACTTTTTCACCAAAATCATACCAAATCTTATTTCTCTACCGCATATACCTTCAAAGCTCAGACTTTTATGCTGAAACCCGAAAACCACCGAGCTATGACCACTCAGCTAGAGCTGAAACCTCCAAAATCAAACCCTAAATCATGCCAATAACCAGCAACAGCACTAAAAGAAAGCTAGATCGCTTACCTGAGAGAGAGGAATCGATCTAATTGACGAGAAGGGTGTAATTAGGGTTTTAATCGCTCTCGCCCTCTCTTCCCCCTTTCGTCAAAGAGAGGAAAATGACTTTGGTTCGATAAACAAATACTGGAACTGGACAGGAGGACGAAGGGGAGAAGGGTGACCGGCAGCTGGCGGTTAATGACTGGGTTGACCAGCCGCACGCGGCTTCCTAGTTATTTCCGCGTCTTGTCACGTGGATTTTGGGGGATAGGGAGCGGAGTTTGTGGAGGGTAAAACGGTAAAAATATTGAATTTGTAAGGGATGAAGTCCAAGGCCCAAATAACGTCGGAACGAGGATTTATTGATCAGTTTATTGCACCAAACAACGATTCTGACGTTGGGAAAAGTTCCATTGCGTCTCAAATTTGTTCGAAAAGAAATAGGGAAGAAATAAAAGAAAATAACTTTTTTTTTCTATTTTTTTTGGGTTCTGAAATAGGATGCCAAAAATGTTTCTTTGCTAGTGAGAGTTAATTGGCACAAGGTAGACTTGGTACCATCCGTTTTAAGTATAGAAGACGATATAAATTCTACTTTTATAGTAAATTTCTCTTAGGATGGGTATATCAAAAGTTCTCATTTTTATTTTTATTTTCGTTTTTATTTTTATTTTTTTGTGATAGATGAGATATCAACAAAGCTCCCCAGGATTCCATTAGATGAATTCGAGATGAAAAGTTTTAAAGGTGGGGATTTTTAAAAAAAAAAGAGTTATTTCATCTTCTAGGAAAATTTCCTTATATTTTTACCCATTCTTGTTGAAAAATTTCATCTAGAGTGGAAAATAATGTTTGGTTTATGAGGATATCAACTGAATAGCATGTTTCGTCTGGGATTGTTTCGGGCATTTTTCTCACAATTTATACTTTTGAAGAATTTGGACAAGTTACATCTTTCATCTACCTATTAACTTTGACTTGGGAAAAAAAAATCAAAGACCAACATTTTTTATTTATTTCGCAGACTACTGTATAATATTTGAACTGCTCAGGCAAACACACACATCAGCAAGATCGTAAGTAAGTTCGACAAGCATCGTTTATTTTTGTAAAAACAGAACTTTCAAAGTGATATCATATTTTGAAAGAGTTGCTTTCAAACCAAAATTTGCTTCTTGTCAAAGGCTGCGGGTAGTAGTAGAAGATTCAAATTCGAAGCTCTCCTTCAGAAAGTCAGTCGCTTTCGTATTTGAAAGATAGCTTACTCTATTCGGTTTGCTCGTAAACGGAGAACAAGTGAGCTTCTCTCATAATTCAAATTTGGTTTTAACAAGACAACCGACAGAATTAGGCTCCTCCAACATAATTTATCCATGCATAAATTGAGCACCAAATCAGCTTTAAGAATTTCTACATAATGGATTGATGCATGAAAAAATAAAGTCGAATTCATTCC